GAAGACAATGCCGCCTACCAAGATTGGCTGGCTGAAGCTAGAGAAACACATAGGGAGATGAGGGATGAAAAATATGACAAGTACGTCAACGAAGGCATGGATGAAGATCAAGCCAGGTAGAAGGCAAACAGGAAGACCCTCTGGGCAGTCAAACAAGACTTTTTCGACAACTATAAGGAGTTCCTGTTAAGTTACCTATATTTGAGGGAAAATGAAACTCACAAGGACATTGCAGATGATCTCGATGGAAAACTTGATAAAGGCATAAACGCCAACAAAGCCTTGAATCAAATTCCTGGTACCCCCAGGTGTGTCCCCGCTGAAAGGATGAATGGACTCTTGAACAAGGCTAACAAAAACTTGCCCCAAAAGCCACACCACTGAAAGCTGGTGCCCCCGTGAGATACTGGTGCCCCTTTGTGCCCCACTAGTTTACTAATGTTTTCAATCCAAACGGGTAGTGTAACAGAGTCAAATCAGTCCCGTGAAATAATAACTTTAATCAGAGTAATGTTCCTTTTGTTATGATAAGAGTCCCCTTAAAACCGAGATTCTTAGCTACGAGTCCTCTTGGTTTTTTTAACTCATGGTTCCCCCTGTAATTGCCTGCCACACACCGTATTCAACAGAATTAAGCAGGGTCCGACACCAGGCAAGTCACGTGTATGAATTGTTACACGTCCTTGCCTCCCACCTTAACCAGAAATTAAATCTTGTGAACAATGATGCCAAAACGTAGATTAAAATAAAACAAATGTGACGAATACTAGTGCACTGCAATCTAGTCTTGTTTAGGACCACATTTTTACAGAAAAGAAATTTATTATATGCAGCGCGCTGCACTGAGATTGTTCATGACTGCTGCCAAAGACGAAAGGATTCTCCGTGCACAAACCAGGATTTTCCAATGTACATTTATATCGTACATCCGTCCCTTTCAAGGGCTCCGGAAGCGTGCTCAGGTCAATTTTCAGGTATAAGAGCATACACGAATGGCATACGCATTGACCCCAGCTTGGAGTTTGTTGAGCTGTCAAGGGTGTTCATTGTTATTCCGCCAGTACGCACGGCACAGCATGGAGGAAGGAGGAGGTATAAATGTGCACATGTACATGTACTGCGTGTGCATGTAGTCTTGGCAGGAGTAGTTTAAGGCACAATATACACACTACGTGCACGTATATGGTCCTTCACCGTCGGCTTTGATGTCATCGATTCCCAGTTACAAAATGATGTGGGAGTTATTTTGCCTGATTCTGGCAGGGGCTTTGTTGAAGCTTCTCCTGACACTACTAAAGGCCATACGAAAACGGAATGCCCTGAAGAAGCTACCCAGTCCAACCGGGGCGCATTGGCTGCATGGTCACGACAAGCAGGGTCCCTTCGACCCAGGCTACAAGTGGCTGATTGACACCGTGGCAGCCTTCCCACGTATCTACACCTTGTGGCAAGGACCGGTTCCTGTACCTGTCGTGGTTCATCCTGAAACCATCAAGCCTTTGTTAACAGGTGCAGTTAGTAACAGAAAGTCTGAATTGTATAACCTCTTGGTTGACTGGTTAGGCGGTGGTTTAGCCACTGCAGAAGGCGCAAAATGGAAGAGAAATCGGCGTCTCCTGACCCGCTCATTTCACTTGGAGGTCCTGCGCACCTACATTCCCGTTTCTAATGACTGCGTGGAAGTACTTCTGGACAAGCTGGACAGGTCTACTGCCCAGGGCCGAAAGTGTGATATATATCATGTTCTTGGCTTGTGTACCCATGATGTGAGTCTGCGCACTGCCTGCTCTTACAAGTCAAACTGTCAGGTGAGCATTTGCATGATATAGCCTACGCGTATGGACAGAGTAAATTATGATGCTAGAGAACGGATGCACCTTCTTACTGACCGATGCAATGATACGTGCCACCTATTTTCTTGAAGTGCATCTCAAACTTTGGTTTCAATTTTACCGAACTTATTTGCAGCCACGGCATTGATCATGGAGATTACATGTAAAGGGAATTTATGATCACTTTAATCCATCTCTCACCCCAATAGACGCTTTGCACAGTAGCCATCACGCGCGGCAGTTCTTTTGTTCCGCAGGAAAAGCTCCAGTTGTGCATAGCCTGTGGAACAAAAGCACTGGCCTGCAACATGGCAGCCACGCAAAACCTTTGTGTGTGTGAAAGAATATCTGTGCGATAGAGTGATTCTCCAGTAGAGGAATTTTTTCCGTATTTTACGTAATTTCAGATGAGAGAGAGTGACCAGGACAAAGAGATGGATGTCCTGTCGGCAAGTGAAACCCTTATGGGGGTTATCCAGGAGCGCATGTTCGGCAGTCGCTTTCTACTTCACCCTTGGATTTTTCGGCTGAGCTCCTACTACGCCAAGTATAAGAGTGCTTGCCAGTACCTACAAAGGTTTGCCCGGCAATTAATCGAAGAGCGAACGAAAGAAATATCGGACAAGGTAAATATTATTCCAAAATACAAGTTGGAAAAATCAGGGCTTTGTTATAATGAGTGATCCCGAGACAACATGTGGGTACGATAGGAGAAAGTGAAGTAGGGTGAATGCCGATATTAATGTTGTGGGGTGCTGGAATTTATGAATCGTTGGTCAGTGCTTTAACGTACAAGTTTTCTTCTAGCGGAATACAAATTGAATGAAATGCAGATTTAATTTAATGGTGGGACTTCAACATTGGTACATGCCCCAGCAGGGCACCTAGGGTGGGGATACGCAATGACTGACGAAGTCCCTTGCCCAAATACACAAGCACACACCCTTAATTTTTATCTTTGTGGGGAATTTCGTTTGCGTGTGTTTGTGGTGCATTGTGAGGTATCAGAACAACGGGAGGTACCCCACAAGGAACAAACATTGTATTTGTGGAGTACTGAAACTGTACCCTACAAGAAATCACGAAACTGATATTTGGAGTTTACTCAAAAATAAGGACTTTTCTAAGCGTATTTATCCCTCGCAAATGGAGGTGTTTTGTATAAGGGGTGTTCGGTCGAAATTTCAGCCGAGGAAGATGATTCAGGACTAAATGGAAGCTATGCTTCACACGCAGTAATTTTTGCTACACGAGAACACCATGACGTGCTCTTGGTGTATGCCTGTCTCATTTATGCTTGTGGCTGTGGCTGAAAAGTGGCTTTGGCTGAAAAGTGGCTATGGCTGCAAAAGTATATCATGGCAAATTAAAATTGATAATGCAAATTTGCAAAGCGTTTATAGGGTTATGCAAAGCCAGGTTATTATAAAGCACTCTCAATGCAGGCAAATGCTGGTAACCCCGTAACCAAACCCCGTGATTTCTTGGACACGCTCATCATGGCCAGAGATGAAGATGGCAGCAGACTCACCGTGAAGGAGATGATAGACGAGGTCAACACTTTCCTTTTTGCAGGCTACGAGACCACGGCTACTTCCATGACGTGGTTACTGTACTTTCTGTCCAAGTATCCTGAACATCAGACCAGAATCAGGGAAGAGGTGAACGAGGTACTCGCTGGAAGAGACTCCGAAAGGATTACTTTGTGAGTAGGTCTCCCGTAAATGCGTGTCATTTCGAGGCTGAAAAGTTGATTTCATGGGGCGGTAGTGGGTCGGCTTAGGCACAGTTTGAGTAACCTAGTATATGATTTTGTATAATACTCAGTCTTAATGTGATTTTTATATTTTTTTGATTTTGTTTGTTGTTTGTTTTTGAAAACTATGTTACAGTGAGGACCTTAGCCGTCTCGACTACATGACCATCACCATAAAGGAGTCTATGCGAATGATGACTGCAGGGCCCTTGATCAGTCGTACACTAACCGCTCCCTACACGGTAGACAGCGTCACAATCCCCGAAGGAACCGTGGTAGGCATTGGTTTCCATCAACTCCACCACAACCCGACTGTTTGGGGCGACGATCACATGGAGTTCAAGCCTTCTCGCTTCCTGCCAGAAAATTTCGCCCAGATGGATCCGTTCTCCTTCGCGCCCTTCTCCGCTGGGACGAGAAACTGCATTGGCCAGCAGTTCGCCATTAACGAGATGAAGATATTCACGGCCAGAATCCTCAGACGTTTCCGTCTGAGCTTGGTGAAAGGAGAACCAGACGTTCTTCCTACAATGCGACTAGCGTCTACACCCATGAAACCATTGCATATCGTTGTTGAGCCAATGGAAGAATTTTAATTATCTGGAGCCAAACTTGCGGCAAAGGAATTCCCTTTTTTCAAAAGGAAGTCATGAAACTCTTCGTCATCTTAATGAAAACGACACTCATAGCTTGGCAAAGCTGGAAACTCCCAATTTGGTAATAATTTCCTACAAACGTACACATTTTAGAAGTTTACTCAACCGTTTTTTGAATGAGGCACATGTATTAGGAAGCCCATTTACATTAATTATCTCCTCTACGATCTCATTTGTTTCGTCATAGTCTTTTTATAAAAGCTATCCTAATGTAAGATTTATAGCTGTGATATGGACTTTCCAATTTCGTTCATTATCAAAATGTTTCAATTTTTAATGTTGGAAAGACGAGTAATGTTTGAAATTCTGGAGTAAAATTGAGCCGATTTTATTTCATTGCCAGGAAGTTGAAATAATAGGTGAAAGACAAATATTTCGTAACGCATATTGACAACCATCTGAAGTGAAATGACAACATGCCAAAAACAAATTGGCAAATTGGCAGTTTTTTGTAACATACAACTGAAATCGTGAAAGGTATAGAGGTATGCCGTGAATTTCTGCGTTGTTATTTTCCAGAGTGTGATTCAGTTATTTTATTTTGGTCTTTTGTATTTTTGTACGTTATGGCTCACCAACTGTTAAAATTTCTTTCAAGCTTGAACATGTGCATGACAACTGTTAGACTGATGGGTATTGATGTAAGAGGCCTCTTTGGTGTTTTTGAGATGACTTTAAATAAACTCATCTGTTCTGCACAAGATTCACTCATCCAATTAATCACCTTTTTTGTGCAAAAATCTGGTAGAGTTAGGCCTCTACATACAAATAGAGAGTGTTTTAGGACAGTATTCTTGCCAAACTCTTCTCACCTTTTTAATTCTACATTAAAAAATAATTCTTTTTAAGAAGGTTGTGTTTGTAGTCTTTCCTTTAATGCGCTCGAAAGCCTTTTTTAAAAGTAACTTTGGTTTGCCTTAACCCCTCTCCCAACTAAAAGTTGTTATATGGTAATGTTTTAATTTCTTTTCAATGGGTCTGTATTTTATGAATGTTATGATCAATAGAGGCGTTTATATATGGCACAACAAAGTGAGGCCAAACCTGAGAAAAAATGGACCTTTTAACTGCGTCAGTAGGTTTTGGTTATAGGGCCAGATTCACATGGCCAGACGAGAAGTATTTATGTTTCCTTCCTTAACTTAGTTTTGCTTATTGTTCAGAGTCGTACGCTGGAACGCCAGCGAGGTTTTGTAATGGAAACTAGACTTCTGATGGGTTGTTTTGTTACTCAATGATCCTATGTAATCAAATATGCATTAGCCTTTTTCGAGCAGAACAAGTAGAACTTGGCTCCCTCTTTAAGGGCGCCCTCTATTTCCACAAGTAATGAGGCGACAAAGAGAGCTCGACGTGACGCGACAACACGACGCAATTCATTAAACACAGCATAAAAGTAATGAGAAAGGAGGCGACGCCACGACGCGACTGGCCGTCATAGCATTGCGTTGTGGTGTCGCGACGACGGCTGTATTGTGTACGTCCTTCAAAACGCACGAAAACTTCGTCCAGCACACCTCAATCCACTTTGTGTTTACCAAAATTTGTAGTGAAAAGTTGCAAAGCGGGCAAGGGGTGGATTCTTTGTTATTGGCTTTTTCAAAAAGGCTCCATCCAAAAGCCTTTGGAATCGTCAGAATTTTTTTTTTGGGGGGGGGGGTGTTCTTCTTTTTTGGCCCAAAGCCCATAGACTTTGGACACATTTTTTTCTGTGCAGGACTTTTGCCATTAATCTTTGTCGCACAGCATTCAAAGTTGGCATAGGTATAGTCATTATTGCATAGATGTATGCCAAAGCATAACGTCATGATGACCTCATCAAGGGATTTATTATTGATTTTTAAATATTTATTTCACCCCATTCACTTTGTACAAGTTTTCAAGGCACTATTTCGGTACTTTAGTAATAGTTGATCGTCGTCAAAGTTACAGCATGCACTGACTATGAAACGAAGATAATACTGAAATAGTTACGTCATGATGACGTCATCAAGTTATTTATTATTAAATACAGAATATTTAATCTGGTAGATTTATAAAAATCCATATAAAATCAACCGTGGCCTCCCGCAACATTCTGTTTGCAGCAAGTGGGTCATATCACGTGATCCTTCCGGTCGAAACAAAAGGTGGCCTATTGTTTAAATATGGTAATAGGTATCAAGTTGTTTTCAACTGTGTTAGTCTGTCCGGGTATTGTATTCTTCAAATCATCTACTGATGACATCACCTAATTATCGAGCGCCCTCTGGCGACAGGTTAAAAATGCCTATAATTGAATTTTGAATAGATGTCTGTGGCGAAGTTTGGCCGAATCGCCTGAAAATTGATTTAGATGATCATCTTTACCCGGGCAACACGTGTGTGAAGATTGGTGCTGATGACGTCGTCACACCGGAAGTTACAATAAAAACTTCTTTTATTCTTCAAAATCCGGTGAAAAATCAACCGTACGAGATAAAAGCGTGAATTGTGCATGAGAAGACAGCTGAAACATTGGAGTCAGCTGCATGAGGTGCATAACTGGTGTACTTTTTCACACACGTGAAGCGCCGCCAACAAAACCCCCTTACAATATAAATTGCCAACTCGGAAATTCTACTTCGCACAGTGCTGTGCATTTACTACTCTGTGTGTGTGTGGACGCCCAATATCTGCCTGCAACATAGACGGTGCAGAGTGCGTAGGGTATATACTCGGGACTTGGCAAAATGCCGACCACGTGCTGCTGAGAGCAGATCGCATTGAGTGGAACGCCAAAAGGGACAAATGTTTAAAAATCTAATCTGTGCTTTTCCGCGGTAAGTATAATGATTTGTATTATATATTTTATTGTACGTCTTATTGGGTTGAAACCTTGCAGGTAGTTAGGAAGGGAAGACTAAGAAACGGAAATTGACCTCACGTGGTAGCAATGCCATCAGCAGACGAGTCACGTGGCATTAAAGGTGTACCATTTAAAGTACAGTATTTCCTAAAGTGTATATCCAATTTGGTTCAAATGTTGCAGATATCTTGAAAAGGGAGTGCTTTAGAGGAGTTTTTACCTCACGTGATGATGACGTTATCAGGAGAAAAATCACGTGATATTAAAGGTGCACACTTCAAGGCCCTATATCTCCTAAAGTACATGTCCGATCGGCTTCAAATCTTGCAGATTTCATGAAAAGGGAGCGCTTCAGAGGTTTATTGATCTTGCCTGATAATGACGTCGTCAGGAGACAAGTCACGTGACATTAAAGGTGCACTCTTTAAGGCCTTGTATCTCCAAAAGGACATGCAACAGCGTGTTGAAAATTAGCAGATATCTGGAAGGGGATGTGTGATAGACAAAAATTGACCTCATGGGATAATGACGTTATCAGTAGACAAGTCATGTGACATTAAAGGTGTATCCTTCAAAGCCTTATATCTCCAAAAGTATATGTCCCTGCGGGATGAAACTTTGCAGATATGCAATCACGACGATGGCCTTTTCAATGAAAAGCGAAAAAGCCCTATGTTCTGTTGCAGACAGACATAGAACGTCTCGTTTGTTCCTCTTTCTCTCCCTGTCTTCTTTATTATGCTGTGCATAATACATATCTTTACATTCTAACAAATATTCATGCGTGTGAGGCAACGTACGTTCTTAAACTGAAAACGCACTGAAACTACTGCGACCTGTACCGAGGAAAAAACCTGATTAATGGAGCGTCGACAAGGGTGTATGTCAGGCCATGGCTGCAGTTTTGGCAGGATCGGGCGTGGTCAAGCAAGGCCAGCTGCATGTAGACGCGGACGGTCATCAAGTAAGCGTTTTGCGAGTTAGATTTGAATAAAATCTGGCACACTGAGTTTTTTAAATTTACGTGAACATAACAATTTGAATTCATCCATACTAAACACTGTTGCTATACCTCATGATTCGGGGCAAGCTTTTGATTAGTTACATAAGAGACTCCTTGCAACAATACACATTCTCAACCGGTCCATTCCAGAGATGGTGGTCTCAATGCAAAAGCTTGACCCGAATCACAAGGTATACAACAGCGTTTTTAGTCTGGGGAATTCGAATCTTTATGTCTATGTGCAATCAGATAACGCAGTGTACCATTTTTTTTCAGATTTAACTCGCAAATGGCTTATTCGCCTGGGCGACTGTTGTATCTTCCGTAGGCTCCGCAATGGTGACTTGGATCTGCAGCGTAAGCAGGTAACCTAGGCTGACAGAAAGGACAGTTTGGCGATGCAGATTCGCAACCTGTCGGGTAAGTCTCCCTTAAAATATACTTTGTTGTACTACGGGTGTTGCAGATATTGAAATTATACAAAATTTTTCGGATTGAAGCTATAGCAATCCATGTTGACTTTGTTGAGCGCCTCAATTGTGTCAGTCAGGGTCAAAGGTCGCTTGTGAAACCGGGTGACGCAACTAAAAAGAAGTAGCTGAAGAAAGTTGAGGTTTACTGCCCGCAGTGTGAACTTCCGGAGACTTAGAAAGCTCAGGTGGTGGTGAACCATCAAAATGGGCACTGTTGACAGCAATTGATGGCGAAAGAACAACTTCCAATAAATTGTACAGTGGTAGAAAGCTACACGTAAAGAATAACAATATGCTTTACGTGGCCTGCCTCTGAGCTTTTAGTTTCAGGAGAAACGATAATTTAAGTGCTATGTCGTGATGGGATGGAAATTGCCTCATGTATGCTATGCAGAAGGGTCATTCTACTTTTTGGTTAACTTTCTTTGACGGTAAATTTACAGAAAAGAACATATGCCGAGAAATTATGCTAAAGGCAAGATGTCGGCATCCAGAGACAATTTATTACAGGATGACGATATCGTAAAAGTTGGATGATGACATCCTGAGATAATTCATCAAGGGATGGTGACATCTTGAAAGTTGGATGATGACATCCTAAGATAATTTATCATAGGATGACGACATCCTAAAAAGTTGGATGACGACATCGTCAGACAATGACGATAATCATTAGCTCAGGATGTCATCATCCAGAGACATCCACCAAGTGTGATGTCAACTTCACTACTCGTAACAGGTGGTGAGACATCATGACGTTTTATCAGTCCAACTAATATCATGCAAGAGGACAGTGCTTTAAAAAACACTACCATCTCAGGCCACCTGTTTTCACGGTGGATTGTCAAGGCACCCATTGACAAATGTCATCATATCACTTTTACGATGTTTTCATCCCTTGATAAATTATCTCAGGATGCTGTCATCCACCTTTTAGGATGTCGTTATCCCATGATAAATTATCTCGGGATGTTGTCATTTTCATTACAGGATGTTTCATCATGCGCTAAAACATCTCATGGTGTCGTCATATTGCCCATTATGTTGTCATGCTGAAATAAAATATGTCGGGATCTCAACAAGTAGGATGGCACTTCCAGAGCTCCGTACCTCACAGCTGAAACAGACCGAATGATTTGAAAAGGTTTGATTTCCACAAAAGTTTCAAACCCCACACGTGGTTACAAAAGGTCGTTTGCCTCTAAAAGAGTTCACTACACCGCAGGTGTAAATTGGGCTTTGATAACAAAGGTCATGCAACCTTTAAGGGTCGATGATAATGATAAAGAGTCGACTAGGGCAGAAATCGTCCATCTCGACAAGATCTATCAACCTCAAGGAGTTGAATGCTCCTGAAGGTCGAAGACCTTTTAAGGTCGCCTGATCCAGTGAATCTGCAGCTTTATAATATTAGCACTCTGAAATCAGTGATACATTTCACAACTCCTTCCCCCTCTCTGTCTAATACACCGATCTTCAAAGAACATCTCTAAAAAAATAACTCCCTGGAACCTTCCACACCTGCAAGTTTATCACTATCATTTGGTGCGTTAACTTGCACAAACACGTTTCCTTGTCTCTGTGAATCCCTATCACTTGAAATGCCATGTGATTTTGACATGTAATACCGTACATGGGGTGCAGGCAGAGAGGCCTGCAACACTTGTATTTGCTGATGATGATCTTAAACAGCCATATCAGTCCAAAGCGTCCTACAAGTTTCAAAGTCTCTGAATGGCACTCTGAATCCTGAAAGGTCTTGTGACCTTCAAAAAAGGCTGACTGTGCACGAAAAACTATACCACCTTGGAAACCCGTGTTTGCTTTCCAGGACAGAGCACACAGACGTAACCCCAGACCAAAGTACATACTGAGCTATCAAGATTGTTCATTTTTCACAGTGCTGTTAACGAACAAAATATTTTTGCAGGGGGTTTGCACTGATAGTTGAAAAGATATGACCTCAGGGGAACGCTGAATTTGTATATAATGGCAACGATATCTTGAGGCGTTTGCACAACACTCTAGTCTGCGCACAACAAACTGTGTTACAGCAATTTTGTCGCTCACGTTTTCTCACTAAATGCTGTGGAAGGCATTTTGCCTGGTTCTGGCGTGGGTTCTATTGAAGGTCTTTGTGTCAGTATCAAAATCCATTAGCAAACGGAAAAAGCATTGTAAAGTTGCAGTGACTTACAGGAATATGTTAACGTCAAGCGTCTGATTAATTCATGCACTGGCCCTTGGCCACCTCGGGGCAATTCAACACATTTAAACCAGATTATTGCATAATTTGATAGTGACAAAAGGCAATCTTCCCTCATTAACATGACCTTTTGTTGTCACTTTCAACCAGGACAAGCATGACAGAGGACAACCTCATTCACTGGTTTTCCAAAGTGTTACAACTGAACTGAGTTCGGATGCCCCATTTTTAAGACAATGGTGTTCAGTCATGCATGGCCGGAGGGATACCATCAAGGTATCATTAGAAAGAATACTGCTTCTACTTTTCGGAGATCAATTACACATTATAATCATATCTCATGGTTTGCGCATATTAACCCCTTTCCTCTGGGTTTGGTTTTTTTTTCTGGGACACCCTGTATAGATGTAGGTCCAGCCGGAAAAAGAAATAGGAAAGGCAAAGAAGTCTATATCTATATGTCACCGTTGTGATGTGCTAAATGTACATAAACGTAACTTACCTCTTTAGCTCTTTCATTTCCCAATTATCTACTTCCTTTCCTTACCAAAGGTTAACACATTTTCTGTATGAAACATTCTGAACACTACAGTTAAGGAAAGAAGTAAAATTCTCGAAAATTGATATGCGTGTGCCCCTTCCGTGTAGTGAAGTGTAATGGATGCTACAGGGCCAAAAAATACTGGTTTCAGTCGAAATAGCAGAGCTGTACACATAAGCAGTGCGCCCACAGGAACTGAAGTGCGCGTGTGTACATGTTGATAAAAACCACTGGCGATCCGGTCTCTCTTTATCGCTGGTTTAGTGTTTCTTTCCTGATTTTTTTGAGACGTTTCCATCAGAAGATCCTGAGTTAGAGTTGCAAACTCCCTTGAGAAAAGTTTACTGCTTAGTTCTGCACACATGGATTAACAGAAAGAAAAAACGATATGTTTTACCTCCTGTGCATGTCCCACAGAAAGTAATAGGTTGTGTAATTGAAAGAGTATTAGCACTTAAGTTCTACCAACAACAAAAAAAATGTGCAGCTGGTTGACCTAACGTCAAATTTTACCACCGATGTTTTACAAGGGTAACAGTTTCATACTCTCCGTGCATGTCTTTGAACCCCTACAGATCTAGCATTCAAAATAGATCAAAAGGCTTCTCACCTCTAAAAGGTTGCACAACCCCAGCAGATTGAGTTCTATCTAAAATAAGGTTGTACAGTTCCAAAAGGTCGCACCAGCTCAGCAGGTCGATTAACTCACATAAGTTCGATTACAAACACGAAAGGCCTTACTGCGGAGCTCAGGAAGTGCCATCCGACTTGTTGAGATCCTGACATATTTTTTCTCGGGATAAGGATATAATCAAGGCAAGATGTCGGCATCCTGAGACAATTTATTACAGGATGACGATATCGTAAAAGTTGGATGATGACATCCTGAGATAATTAATAAAGGGATGGTGACATCGTGAAAGTTGGATGATGACATCCCAAGATAATTTATCAAGGGATGAAGACATCCTACAAAGTTGGATGACGACATCGTCAGACAATGACGATAATCATTAGCTCAGGATGTCATCATCCAGAGACATCCACCAAGTGTGATGTCAACTTCACTACTCGTAACAGGCGGTGAGACATCATGATGTTTTATCAGTCCAACTAATATCAGTTATGGCAATAGGACATGTGCTTTGAAAAACGCTACCATCTCAGGCCACCTATTTTCACGGTGGATTGTCAAGGCACCTCATTGACAAATGTCATCATATCACATTTACGATGTCTTCATCCCGTGATAAATTATCTCAGGATGTGGTCATCCACCTTTTAGTGTACCGTCATCCAGTGATAAATTATCTCGGGATGTTGTCATTTCATTACAGGATATTTCATCATGCGCTAAAACATCTCATGGTGTCACCATATTGCCCATTATGTTGTCATGCTGAGATAAAATATGTCGGGATCTCAACAAGTAGGATGGCACTTCCAGAGCTCCGTTACGGTACCTCACAGCTGTAACAGACAAAATGGTTTGAAAAGGTCTGATCCACCCACAAGTTTCCAAACCCCACACGTGGTTTCAAAAGGTTGTTTGCCTCTAAAAGGTTTCACTACACCGCAGGTGTAAAGAAGGGCTTTGATAACAAAGGTCATGCAACCTTTAAGGGTCGATGATAATGATAGAGTCGACTAGGGCAGAAATCGTCAATCTCGACAAGATCTATCAACCTCAAGGAGTGGAATGCTCCTGAAGGTCGAAGACCTTTTAAGGTCGCCTGATCCAGTGAATCTGCAGCTTTATAATATTAGCACTCTGAAATCAGTGATACATTTCACGACTCCTTCCTCCTCTCTGACTAATACACCGATCTTTAAAGAACATCTCTAAAAAAATAACTCCCTGGAACCTTCCACACCTGCAAGTTTATCACTGTCATTGGGTGTGTTAACTTGCACAAACAAATTTCCTTGTCTCTGTGAATCCCTATCACTTGTAATGCCATGTGATTTTGACATGTAATACCGTACATGGGGTGCAGACAGAGAGGCCTGCAACACTTGTCTTTGCGGATGATGATCTTAAACAGCTGTATCAGTCCTAAGCGTCCTACAAGTTTCAAAGTCTCTGAATGGCACTCTGAATCCTGAAAGGTCTTGTGACCTCTCAAAAAAGGCTGACTGTGCATGAAAAACTATACTACCTTAGAAACCCATGTTTGCTTTCCAGGACAGAGCGCACAGACGTAACCCCAGACCACAGTACATGTTGAGCTATCAAGATTGTTCATTTTCACAGTGCTGTTAACGAACAAAACATGACCTCATTTTTGCGTGGGGTTTGCACTGACGGTTGAAAGGTATGACGTCGGGGGAACACTGAATTTGTATATAATGGCAATGATATCTTGAAGCGTTAGCACAACACTCTAGTCTATAGCTACCAGCTGCGCACAACAAACTCTGTTACAGCAATTTTATCGTTTACGTTTTCTCAAAATGCTGTGGAAGGCATTTTGCCTGGTTCTGGCGTGGGTTCTCTTGAAGGTTTTTGTGTCAGTACGAAAATCCATTCGCAAACGGAATGCCCTGAAGAAGCTACCCTCTCCACCTGGTGCGCATTGGCTGCATGGCCATGACAAGCAGGGTCCCTTTGACCCGGGCTACAAGTGGCTGATTGACACTGTGGCAGCCTTCCCCCGTATTTACACCTTGTGGCTAGGACCAGCGCCTTTACCTGTGCTGGTCCATCCCAAAACCATCAAGCCGGTGTTGACTGGTACAGCGAGCAACATAAAAGCTGAATTCTACGACCTTCTACTCGATTGGTTAGGCGAGGGCCTGGGCACTGCTGAAGGTGCAAATGGAAGAGAAATCGGCGCCTTCTGACCCGCTCGTTTCACTTGGACATCTTGCGCACCTACACTCCTGTTTCAAACGACTGCGTGGAGATATTACTCGACAAGATGGGCCGGGCTGCTGCCCAAGGCCACACATTCGACATACACGGCGGTCTTGTGCTGTGTACCTTTGATGTTATTATGCGCACTGCCTGCTCTAACAAGTCAAATTGTCAGGTGAGGTTGTTCTCATGGCGTGGTATCGCAAGGCTATAGATAGTGGCCAATTCATGAGATTCAAAAATAAAGGATAGAGTCATTACGCATGCTAAATCACGTGTCCTTAAGCGGGTATCATTCCCAGAACAAAGTGTGTTTTGAGTTTTGCTTATAAAAAATAAAGCCAATATATGGGATAGTATCCAGCACATCAGTAGTCTTAGTAAAGCACCTACCGTCGGCTGTATTTTTGGTAAACGATACTTTTGGAGCACTTTACTTTCGGTGGACGCTGTTTGTTGATATTTAATACTCACCACAGGTCACGTGATTTAGCTGGTGCAATCGATCTGTTGATGTTGCTTCTACCGAAAGAGCTTTGCATATGACAATTAACCGGTACCATTATTATTCATTGTTTAAACTAAAAGATAGATGGGGCAGTTATCAGGTTGAACTAAACTGCAGCAACGACACAATCATTCAGCAACTTTGAACTCTTCTCAAACGTTTGAAAACTGTTTTACGTCCGTATGTGTTTAAATGCATTTAAAAAGCAGAGGGTGCTGCTGCATATTCAGTACACATTTTCATCTGTTTGGTTCAAATTGAGGAACCAGTTTTTAATTACCTTTTGTCAGAGAGGGACTGATGCTTGCTGTTTGTTACACATATTAAATGACAAAACGAAAGTAAC